CTGCTACTGCTACTACTACTACTACTACTACTACTACTGCCACTACTACTGCCACTACTACTGCCACTACTACTGCCACTACTACTACTACTACTACTACTACTACTATTACTACTACTTCTACTTCTACTACTACTTCTACTACTACTACTTCTTCTTCTACTACTACTACTACTGCTACAACAACAACAACAACTACTACTACTACTGCTACTACTACTGCCGCTCCTGCTGCTACTCTACTACAACAACAACAACAATAACTCGTCCTCCTCCTCCTCCTCCTCCTCCTGCTCCTGCTCCTGCTCCTGCTCCTGCTGCTGCTGCTGCTGCTGCTGCTGCTGCTGCTCTTACTCCTTCAGCTATTGCTGCCGAAACTGCGACTGCTGCTGCTACTGCTACGTCGACACTACTATCAGTAATTTGGCTGTTGTCTTTCCTAAACCCTAAACCCCAAGCCCTGGGTTATTCTTTCGACTTCCCAGCACCCAGAGATCTGTCCTCGAGGCTTACGCCCAAGGAGGTTGACGATATCTTGGAGGGCCTGCCTCGGGATGGGTCCGACCCCAATGATCTGCGAGAGGTTTGAGTTCGTTGTTCTTGGTTCTTGGTTTGATTTTTTTTTTGATGGGGGGGGGGGGGTGGGCAGGGTCTTTTTGTTGTTTGAGTATGCTTAAAGCGTATTGTGAGGTTGTTGCAGGAGGGGAGGGGGGGGGTTCCGGCTAAGTGTCGTTGGAGGGCTCCTATCGGGGGTGAGGTCGAAGGATGTTGCATGTTAGGGATTTCAGCCCCTAAGCCCTAAACCGTGCACAAAGCTGTCTTTGACCATGAATGGGTCCGACTGTCAGGACCAAGCCCATCAAATCCCGGCTCTAATTCGTCCCGAAACCATTTCATCCAACAGCAGCCTTCAACCATAAACCCTATAGCTTGTGGCTTTGGGTTTAGGGTTTAGGGTGTAGTGCTAAACCCTTCTGCCCAAGCCCCTTCATCTGAAGCCCCTAGGTAGGCCCTGGCCCCTTGGCCTTGAAGTTGTTTTCCTAAACCCGTCAAGCTGCAAGCTCCTTTAAGCACGAACCCGAGGCCTAAGGCCAACGTCTGAAAAAGCTCCCGCTGAGCCATGTCCTGTACGCTAAGTTCATCACAAGACATATTTCTTCTGTGCCTGCTGTCATGATATACTGATGTTCTGTCGTTACGTGCATGAGCAAAGCTTGTTTGGGGCTCTTTCTCTTTGGTCTTTGTCACCGAGCCCAAACCTCAAAAGCCATGACCTTAAAAATCTAAAGCCCCTGTAGTGACTCTTTAGACGCCACAGGACGCTAGGAAACCGATATAGCCCCTGGCCCTGAACAACCTTCAAAAAGAAGCAGCTAAAACCGCAAGAAAGCCGTAAGCCGCCCCAGACCCTAACTCCTGGGGTCTAGGGTTTAGGGTTTAGGGTTCAGGGTTTAGGGTTTAGGAACCTTTGAAGAGCAAGAAATCGGAAGTCGCAGACCAGGTTGGGCCGAGTGAGCTGCCGACTCATCGCGCGGAAGCTGATCAAGGCTTGCTTTCTGCGACTTAGGGCTACTACTAGGGTTACTACAGGGGGTTACCATAGTAGGGGGTTACTACAGGGGTTACCATAGTAGGGGGTTACTACAGGGGTTACCATAGTAGGGGGTTACTACAGGGGTTACCATTGTAGGAGGTTACTACAGGGTTTACCATAGTAGGGGGTTACTACGAACAAGGGGTTACCATAGTGGGGTTACTATAGTAAGGTTACGATAAGGGGTGCCAAGACGGTTACTACTATGGGCTTGTAGGGTTACTATACGAAGGTACTATAAGGAATATGGCAACAGGGTTACTAGTAGAAGGGTCATTGTAACAGGGTTACTGCAAGTACTGTTTCTCCCAAGCAGCCCTTTCCTGATGTCGCCGTGATACCGAGATCCCAAGCCTACAGAGTTACACTGTCTCCGTGCTCGCTTCGAGGCTCCTTTCTGCAAGCCCCTCACGGAAGAATCCCCGTCCAGGATGTAGATACGCCGATCAAAGCCGCCTGGGTCGGGTTCGTAGGCAGAAGAATTCCCGGAGGAGCCCCTCATGGTTACGATCATGATTTCTATAAGGTCTCCTGTAGTAGTTACCATGAGGTGTCCCACAATAGTTCCCATACAAACCTTAAGCCCTAAACCCT